CGGGAAAAGAGAATCGCCGATACGATGTTGGAGGGGAAAAATGGAAAATAAGGTGAATACCACGAGGGGTAAAGCCCTCCTACGGCTACAGCCACGTAATCGTACGAGCAAAAACGTTACAATTTTATATGATAATTGTGAGTTTATTTCTCTTTTCTTTTTTTGCTGTGTAATCTCTACAATATTCTGAGGGAAAATTGGGGTAGGAAAAATTAATGGAAATGGGAGGGTTGATTTATTCCAGGGTCTTATGTGTAGAATTTTTTATGAGATCAGACGAATGGACCTCATAGAACCCTCATAAGGGCCTGACCCTTATGACCCTTACGAACTTCTCGACACTTATAAGAATTTCTTGTACGCACCAGAAGCTTAAGTTTTCAGTGTTCTGACTGTTCGACCCTTATTCGTCTCCGGACCCTTATGACCTCATGATCTCTACATATGGAGCAAAACCCTCATGACCCAGACCCTTACGGCCCTTACGAGCTTCTTAGATTTTATCAGACTCGTGACCCTCATCAAAATTTGACTTTTGTCAAGTTCCGGACCTTTATCGCCGTCATCAGTCTCTTGGCCCTTACGACCCTTAGAGATACCGGATTCTGACCCTTATGAGATTTTTTTGAAGGTCTCTTAGGAGTTTAGAAACCCTCATAAGGGATCCTTTTGGGGTGCGACAATAAATGAAAACGGGTGTATTTATCCATTTCAGGCTCTTATCTATGAGGTTATATAAAGAATCTCGTGAGAACCTCATGAGCCTTACGATCCTTATGAGCTTCTTGACACTTATAAGAATTTCTTGCACACACCAGAAGCTTAATTTGTCAGTGTCCTGACTGTTTTGACCCTTATTCGTCTCCGGACCTTTATGACCTCATGGTCTCATATATGGAACCCTACATATGGACCAAAACCCTCATGACCTAACCCTTACGAGCTTCTTAAGTTTTATCAGACTCCTGACCCTCATCAAGATTTGACCTCAATCAGGTTCCTGACCTTTATTACCGTCATCAGTCTCCTGGCCCTTACTCCCTTAGAGATACCGGATTCTGACCTTTACCAGATTTTTTTAAAGATCCCTTATGAGGTTAGAAACCCGGTTTGGGGTGCGACAGTAAATGCAAATGGGTATATTTATCCATTTCAGGCTCTCATCTATGAGGTTATATAAATGAACCTCGTGAGACCCTCATGAGCCTGTCCCTTACGATCCTTATGAGCTTTTTGATCTGTATCACATTGCTGACACTTATAAATTTCCTGAAACTTATTGGAATTCGGACCTTTATCACACCTCTAACCCTTACGCTCCTCATATATCTTGACCCTCATGACCCTCATGGATGTAATGTATAAGGTTCTGACCTTCATCAGCCTAAGCTTTGTGACCCGCACGACTTTCCCGTTCAACCGTCCCCTAAAAATGTTTGTCACTGAATTTTCAAGTGGAAACAAAATTGGGAGTTCCTTTTTCTTACATAATCCCCACAATATTCTCGGGAAAATTGAGGTACGAAAAAAAACGTGTTGATTTATTTACATTTGAGTCTCAGGATTTTGTGGATTTTTTTTCTCGGGGGAGGGGGAGACGAGTCGCATATAAATCAACTTCATAAAGAATGTAAGAGAGTGAGTGAGGGAAAAAGGTCTGGACACAAGAAAAAAAACGAGGGTGGGCTGTGCGCCAGAGGCGAGGCTATTTAGGTCGTCGGGAGAGAAAGAGAGAGTGAACAAAAATATAGGGGTGGGTTATAAATTAATGTCACGAAATACCGGCGAAAGAGAAGCTGAGGAAGAATTAAATAACAAATATTGTGATATAACTGGATAGACAATGAACTTGGTATCTTTCTTGGAATTTGTTGGAGTTGAAACGGGAATTAGTAGGGTAGGGGGCATGGGGGTTGGGGATGTTGTGATACTGTGGTGACTTATTGCCGTGATATAAAGGTCAGTTATGACCTCGTGCGGGAGAGGCAGTAAAGTTTGTTGGGTCATCGATACTTGGGGACACGTAATATAATGCTATGGTAGGGCTGACGACAACCAATCGAATTGTTAATTTGTGTTTTTTTTAGATGTTTGGGGATTATGTGAGCAAACAATACATTGTGTTGAATATAAATATATTTGGATATAATTCTGTATGTATTTTTGGGGGACGATATACTGATATATTAATATTGGAATACATTGATATAGCGATATATTTCAAGGCCGTTATTGCTCAATATGTTGTCCGATATAACCGATATTTTAATGGAAGAAGACGATATATTAATGAGTAAAATATTAATATATTTTCATGACAGTATAATTATCGTTACATGAATACATTCTTTTTCAATAATTATTTGTTTTTATTGAGTTTTGAGCAGAAGATTTTGTGAGTGCAAAATACGTTTCGTAGAACATAAATATATTTTGATATAGTCCCATATATTTTTTCCATCGGAGATGATTAATATATCCTAGATCGTATCGAAATTCTAGGCTGAATATTCGAGATGAGATATATTCGTACATTTGTATCGAAATATAAATAATATATCAATATATTTTCCGATATATAAATATATACATCGTTATATGAACACATTCTCCTTCAACAATACCAAATATAATAAATATTTAAATAAATATTTTTTAGAATTTAAATATATTGCTCCTGATATATTCCCCATGCATTTCTGCAATTTTTCCCCTACTTTTCTCTCTCCATTATAGTTTGAAGAATAAAAACCGTGTCAAGGACATATTTTCAAAACTAATGACGCTCGATTAATTAAAATTCCGTGAATAAATTGGCACTCAGATAATTAAATAATTACGAGGTACGATACTAATTCACTTCACCAACGGTAAATATAACCCCGGACAATTGAATAATTGAAATTAATGAATTAACCATCCATTCAAGACGACTGATAACATGAATATTCCAACCACGTCGTCACATCAATTCTCCTCACCTCTATTATAAAAAAAAAAATGATCGTTTATTTCTCTCCTACTCCTTTCTTCAGAAAACCAATCGACCGTAGAGATCTTATCTCCACCATAACGTTTATCGATCGGCATATTTCTTCTTACGGAGAAGTCTCTCTTTCACACAAGTCTTTCATTATTTATACTGCAGCCGTGCGTGTTTATAAAACCTCACACGAGAGTTATATATTTTAACTCGGGCGTCTGCAGTTGCTCAACGCCAAATACAAGCACAGCAGATGGTATTTCGTAATGTTATGCGCTGGATAATATGTTTTTCAAAGTGGGTAAATTTGTCGGTTTGCGGGAAAATTACGTCCTTATGGGTAAACATGAAAAAAAAACGTTGAAATTTTTTTTTTCCCATGAAAAAATCTGATAATAATTTTTCTAATGAAAAAAATATAAAATTCTCCTTATTGTTGAATTTTGTTGTAGTGCTAATTCTTTTTATTAAAAAAAACACTCATTCCGCCAATTGAGGGATGAAATCCTATCCAAAAATTCCCCAATTTACATTCGTATTTCATAATTTTTCAGAATTCAATTTCGAACGTATGAGAAACGCGATGAAAAATTATTAATGTGTTATTTCACTTTTTCGGGGATATTCTGGGGGTGGGGAATGAGCACATTGAATAGATGGTAGAATTTTTCGATTTCAAATAAAGCTTGGCGATCAATTTACAACGTATAGTCTCCCAACTTTATTGAGAGAACGAATTTTCACCCATTAAAAACCTTTTTTCGATTTATTGGGGCGACTGGCGAAATAAATGGGGTAGTGTATTGTGATATCGTATTTTCAGTGCAAATAGGTCAAGCTTCTCAATTCCATTAAATATTAAATATATTATAGATATTAAATATATCGACATAATTTTTTTAAATATCGTTATATGGAATATATTTTATTCTGGAAAATATATTACATACTCTTCACGATATATTTTCGATATGAATCTATCTCAATCCAGTATTGGGCGATATATTCCCAAATATATCGATAATTGACACATTTTCAGAGTGACATATGGATGTGATATATTTGGTGTGGTGTTAATATATTCATATATCAGTATCACAATATATTTCTCCTGATATATCGCTAATATATTAAATATGTGATATTTAATACAACTAATATATCATCAAATGTACAAAAATCCGATATATTTGCTAGTATCACTGATATACTGCCGAATATAACTATAGTTGAAATATATATTCTTTACAATATGCAGATGGGATATATTCGATAGGACGTTAATATATTCACCTATCAATATCCCAATATATCGTCAATATATCAAAAAAATATTTGATATATCAATAAAATCGTAAAAATCCGATATATTTGGTAGAATATACAACAAAATATAAGATATATCACTAATATATTCCGAAATATATAGAAAAGCATTCTTCCTCAGATTGATAAAACTTTGTATCGGCAAGTTGACAAAGAAAAGTATATTTAAAATACTTTCGAATTGATTCAATCCATCCCGCAATAAATAAAGAGTGAAAATAGGGTATTGTCACGGGGTTGACGAGAGCGATCGGACTAGCTCCAGCAAATTTCCTTCGGGCAGTTTATCACCTCTGGGCAGTGGCGAGACCACCACGCCCCATTTTGCCCTCGGGAGTGACGACTGACCGTGGGGCAAGGGCATACAGAAGTGAAATAGGGGGAGGAGTGGGAGTGTGGGGGGCGGACGACAGAATGCGAGCGCCGTAATTTATGCATTCTAGGGTCTCTCGGACGTGCCCAACAATGGGCCGGACTTGGATGCGGTCAGGATTTTTTTTTCTTTTTACTTTTATCTTCGGTTGTTTTGTTCTTTCAAATGCCCCAACGGACCTGTTTCGATCCGCTTCTCGCGGGGTTATGCATATCAACCGTGACGATGCGAATATGCACTTGTGAGTGGAATGGGAGGGAATGGGGGAGTGTGGCGTTTTTTCGGGGAGATGACTAAGTTTTGGTGTTTTTGTTTCAGATTTTTTGTTCGTGAGCAGAATCTCCGGTTGATCTAGTGGGAATCGCCGTCTTGCTGATTTCAAGGTAAGATTTTTTGCGAATTATCTTTTGCTTTTTTTGTCCACCGGTGGCACTTTCGTTATGACCTTTTTCCTGTCAGATTCGATATTCCTTTTTTCAATTAATTGTTTATAATCATTCTCATGAGATGAGAATCACATGTCCCAATTTATCAACTGTTAAATTTTCATATTACAATAAACGATTTGCTCGTGTTCTAATTCCTATGCTCACTGAATATGATTTTAATCATAATTACAATTCAATTCCTTCTAGAACACATTTTAGAGTGTGAATTTCTGGAATTCAATGTCTGTTGATATTCTGGTAAAAGTGCGTGCCCACACTGTTATAAATTTTTAGTTAGTTCATACGGTAATTCAATTAATCTGTTGTTCATCTCACCAAATTAAAAATTAAAACTTCATTTGGAATATTGAGTCACAGCTTCTTTTTATTCATATCAGAAATTTTGTATTTGGATATTAATATTATTTGTTCAAAGTGAAAAAATCGATCTCATTTTCACTATATTGCATTCAGATTCTCCTCCTATCCTTAACGTCAAAAATTTGAGATTATCTCATAATTCTAGCTATTAATTCTAATCAACTTTGTTCGAAGAAAACCTTAGTAAACGCAATATTAAGAAAGTAGAATTATCCCATTTTCCTCTGAACTAAATGATTTGGACAATTATGATTCGTTTATTCATATTTCATAGAATGGTATTCAATTATCTTTTGTTTGTTGGGCGGGCTTCATGAAAATTTGACGCAAGACGATTGTACTCATGAAAATTGCCTTACTTTCTTCATTCGATCGAGATATCCATCAGTTTCAAATACTCCTTTTCGATTCAAGATATTCCCCATGCTTTTTTTTTAAAGGATTATCTTTATCCTATGATATTTAAATCTACGATTTGACTCATCACGATTACGTGATTTCATTAGTATAAAACCATTTCAGTGTGATTTAAAAAATCATTCACTGAAATGTCCAAGTTCATTCCTTCACATCTGAAGCAAAAATAGTCTTCCCTCTCCTTTCACCCGTTTAAACATGAGAATTGAGCGATAAAAATTTTATTTGACATTTATTATATCTCCGCCTGAGAATCCTCTCATTATTACACGGTATGAGGCAGGTGAGTGGGTTCTTATCTCATCCGAGTAGGCAAATTACGTCTCGACGTCATCAAGGGCTCCTCCATTCTCTCCTCTCCCCCTC